GTTTTACTATATTTTTAGTATTATCATTTTTCGAAAAAACTTATTATGGTTTTCCTATTGAAATTTACAAGTGTCTTGCTTTGAGTAAAAAATATTATGGTCACGTTAGGTATATTCGACACCTTATTTCCCGATTTTTTTTAAATTGCTATTAGTTATAATTTTTCAACTAATTTATAATTGTTATAATACTAGAGTTAAAGTTAATGTTTTTTCAAACTATGAAATTCATATTCCCGGAGTTAATATATTAGATTCTATTGAAGATAATAGTATAACGCCATGTGAAAATATTGATTTACATAAACTAGAAACTGTCAAAGATCCAGAAATCGAAAACTCGCCAACAGAGTATGTTTATAACATTTATAATATAATTCTGAGATAAAATAAATATGTTTGAATTTTTAAGTTACTATGATAACTACTTAAAAATGTTCAGAATAATAATTATAGTCCGCATCACGAAAACTGGCGGGTGGCCGCCGTCGTACCCCGAACCTCACCCACCGCGTAGACAGTGGTTCTCATTCTATTGTTGCGATCCGGCGGCGGCGGCCGTAAATTATATTGTTGTTTGATAACCAGCAAATAGTCCACTTGGATCGCGGCGGTCACCCGCTACTTTTCGTGACGCGGGCTATAATGAAATAGACGGACTTAGAATAATTGACATGTCTCATATATTTTTTCAAATACAAAATATCAAGCATGACGGTGGATTTGATTGTAATTTTATGAATATGAATTTTGTAAATGAAATTCGTTCAGGTTTTTATTCTGATTTTTTGTTTAAATGCAAAATGTGTAATTTAGAAAAAAAATTAGTTCTACTAAAATTGTACCCGATAGCGATTGGTCTATCAATAAAGCTGCTGTAAGTAGCTCTATCGCAATAGGTATGTTATGAATTGGTATTATTAAACATAGGAAGTAAGTAAGGATGTAGCAGTTAGTAAACAAATTAGAAATGTAGTATTTATAAAACATTTAGAATTACGAAATGAAATGATTATTGTAAATTAGTGTAAACAGGTACAATCCCGAAACTGCGGGTAAGCACTTTTTATATAGGAGGGATTGTCCTACATAAGTTTAGATATAAGAAACATTAAGATTGTAAGAGGATTAGTGGAGAATGGACAGTGCCATTGCCTGTATATGTTCAACTCAATAAACTTTATAACTGAAAAGACGTGTGTTTGTTACTTTATTTAATAAATCTATATTCAAACTCTACAAGTACGAGGCTACGGTCAACCGACTTGTAACAGGTAAGTAAGCAATATATACAACAACAAAAATATCAAACAAAAAATATAAATTTTAAAACATTTGGGAAATTGTATTTAGGAATTGGTTATACACAGTTATCCGAATTGTTTTTTGGATTAGAAATACCATCAATATCTCCTACTACATATATTTCAATAGAAAGTAATTTTCAACCTGAAATTAAAAATACAGCATGGGGTGAGATGCAAAAAGCCGGCGAAGAAGAGAAGAAATTGGCAATAGAATCCGGTGATATCGATACAGATGGGATTCCTTTAATAACTGTGGTGACAGACAGACAGTGGTCTAAGAGAAGTTATAGCACGAAATACGATGCTTTATCGGGAGTAGTAAGTATTGAAATAAGCAAATTTTTTTTTTAAAAACAATAATTTAATTGTAATACAATTATTTTTATTTTAGGCTAGTATAATCGGTTATAAAACAAAAAAGATTTTGTTTGTCGGGATTAGAAATCGATACTGCGTAACATGTGAGAGAGCGTTGAATAAAAAAATTGAAATTCCAAATCATTTTTGTTTTATGAATTGGAAAAAGGGAGCCACGAGTATTGAGGCGGACGGAATTGCTGAGGGATTTAAGAAAAGTATTGAGTTGCACGGAGTTAAATTTTCTAAATTGATCGGTAATCTCTTATATTATAAAACACAAATAGTCTCCGCGTTTCTTCCATGACGACCAATAATATTACTTCTCGCGCGACGCAGCAAATAAGCAGCTCCGCGTTTCTTCCATGACGACCAATCATAATACTTCTCGCGCGTTCGCTAAATTTTCAAGTCGCCGCTCGCTTATCTCCCTTTTCGTTATCGACGATTGACTAATACGATCAAACAAATTTCAAAACAAGAAAACTACATATACATATTATATGTTATAAAATTATAATAAATTGAATTTAAATTCCTCCAAAGGTGTAAAACTATGCTTAAAATATTGTAATATTTGTCAACATTTTTATTATGTCGTTGGCATGCAAAAATGTATTATACATGATTTATTTATATTATATTAATAAATACATAGGTATCATTTATATTCTACTTTTTTAAACTTTATTATAGGACAACTGTATGCAGCGTTTTCCCGAGTGAGGGACTCTCAATCCATAAAATCCATTAGAGTTGCTATGTACAGTGATGGCCGTCACTAAGAACATTGTGTATAGAGAAATTCTATAAGCTATATAACTGTACAATGAAGTCTACAAGAACTTAATGAACATCGAATCCGATCTGTGTGACACATGGTTTATAAGCAGTCGTAAGTACGACTCGCGGAGGAGAGAAAGTTCGACGACCTCCACGTGGTTCTCTCTGGATGCGGATTTTGTAATGAATACGTAACTGATGTCGAACATGCATTTAACCTGGCTGCGACTCGCACACTAGATGGTAAATTATTTAGAATTATTTATGTACTCTAAAAATATATCAGCAGATATTTGTATGCATTTGTATTATTTCAGAAAAATTATACTAAAAATGACTATCAATGCAGATGTAACAGAAACAGAATCATTGTTGTACTGCAACAAAGGCATAGGGGCAATTTGACAACCTCTACGTGCTTCTCTCTTGATGCGGATTTTGTAATGTATTTGTATCAAATGTCAAACATGCATTTAGACTGACTGCGACTCGCACACTAGGTGTAAATTATTTAGAATTATTTATGTACTCTAAAAATATATCAGCAGATATTTGTATGCATTTGTATTATTTCAGAAACATTATACTAGAAATGACTTCATCAATGCATATTTTATTCATATTTTATTCATCAGATTCATCATTGTATCAATACTGATTACTAATTTGTAACTAAACCATACTCTGTTAATCATAAGAGTTACTACAGCTAACACTTAATTATTATTCATTGTTAATTTGTAACTGATGTAGCACATGCATATATGTATATGTATATATATATTTAAATTATATTATACAATAATATTACCTGTATAGAAAATGCTTAAGTGTTAATATTGTAAGTTTTGCTCAAATATAGAATGAGACAATTAGTTAGATTATATAAACAAGACAAAAGTTTATTATTCATAAAATGTATTTATTTATGAATGTTACAAAAAATCAGTTAGAAAAAATATTTAATAATAAATAAATAAAATATGTTAGTTAGGTGTATAAAAATTATTTTTATTAAAAAGCTGAAACAAAAACACAATTTATTATTATTTTAATATAATATTGTAAAACAAGTGTTAATAATAATAATAATAATATTCCTTCCAGTATCTGTGTAATTGCTCGGGCCGTTTTCGTTTTTGTCTTCTTCACCGGGGCCGCTTTTGTCGTCTTTGCCGTAGCCGCTTTCGGCGACGGGGGCCGTTTTTCCCTTTTCCCTTTGGGTTTGGTGCCAGTAATTCAAATTCCAAATAATACAAAACTATAATACATAATAATTCCACATACATGACAATTGGTAAATATAATTAAACATTGTGAACTCACGTGTAGACTTGGGAGTTGGGACAACCGAAACTCTGGAACAGTCCAACTGTCGACTTTGAGCTTTCCCATAACGATATTCGTATTCCGTAGATAGGAGGAGTAGTATAGGAAGATGGTCATAACTGACACCGCGTTTCTGTGTCGGTTAACATGTTCGTGGTATATGCGATAATAATCTTTGGATGGCGCTCGGTGTAATAGTGGGGGGGAGGGTGTACGAGGCGACGACCGAGCCGTTGAACGACATCCACGGCAGTACGGCACGTAGCGTTTCAACATCCGTGCAAGACAGTTGATCGCTACTTTTTTTTTCATCTTTTTGCACATTTCCCAGTCATTTAACAATTTTCTCTTTTATTTACTTCACTTCTTATTTCATTTTCATCTCTATCCAGTTTGTTTTCAGATACATTTTTCCAGGACACTTCGGAGACCGGTGAGTCCAAGTTTTTATACGTATATTTCACAAGTACCCGACGTGTGTAAACAAACTACAGTCAAATTCGCTTATAACGATCTTCTAGGGACCTAGGGAATCTGATCGTTATAACCGAACTTCGTTTTATCCGGATCATAAAAAAAAAAATTTTTTTGAAAAATTGATTTATTAAACACATTTTTTACTGTTATTTAAGATTACAAAGTATTTATATAAATTTTAATAAATGTACAGAATATACTTGTATAGTATATGTTTACGATTTGTTTGAAAAATAATCTTTAATAGTAGTTTGTTTATAATTTGAATAAGATTTTTAACAAAATTAGAAATATTATTTAATGCCATTGATACTTCTGGCGTATTTATGTCACTATTTACCGAAACAAAAGTACGCACCTGATCAATAAAAAAATACATTTCCGAAATAGATGGTACTTTGAATACGATTTCTTCGCTCTCTTCGTCAGCTTGTTCACTTTCATCATTATTTGCATTCAAAATAGACTTGACAATTTCTTCTTCATTGAGTTCTTCGTTGGTCAAAAGAGCATCGTCAACCTCCGCAAAACTTTGTATGTTTTCTTCAGAAAAGCACTCTGTGTCCAAATGATTTTCACTTACTTCTGTTTCGTCGTTTACCGAAGCCTTGAATCTAGCGTGGTGGAAACAGTTTCTTATTGTAGTGGTAGAAACATCATTCCATGCATCGGAGATCATTAAAATTGCATCTAATACTGAAATTTTAATATCTTTTCCCTGTTCCTCTCGGTTAATAATTTTGAGTACTAGTTTTTTTTCCGAAATTTCACTTTTAATGCTTTAATAATACCTTGATCCATAGGTTGTAACACAGAGGTCGTGTTTGGAGGGAGAAAAACCAACTTTATAAATTCAGTTTGAACAGGAGGATGAGCCGGACAATTATCTACAGTCAATAGGATATGTCGTTTTTCCTTTGCTAGTTGTTTATCCCATTCTTTTAACCAGTCGGAAAATATGTCACCGGTCATCCATGCTTTTTTATTGCTTTTGTAGTCGACTGTCAAGTTTTTGACATTTTTAAAACATCTCGGAGTCTTAGATTTTCCAATTACTAATAATTTTTGTTTGTAAGAACCAGTCATATTAGAGGTTACAAGAATTGTGAGTCGCTATTTAGATAATTTACCACCACTGCATGTTTCCCCTTTAAAACGTAATGTTTGAGACGGTGTTAGACGATAAAACAATCCAGTTTCATCAGCGTTATAAATGTCACAATCTGCATAATTTTAACGCAAATTAGGCCAAACGTGTTCCAGAAAATTTTCCGAAACACCAACAGGAACGCTTGACGATTCTCCACTTATTTTTCCAAAAACGATATTGTGTCTTTGACGAAAACGGGTAATCCAAGAAGAAGAACATTGAAAATCGATTTTATTAAAACGCTTCCCGAATTCGGTCGCTTTTTCTTGAAGTATCGGACCACTTATTGGAATATTTTTAGATCGTTGTATTTTGAACCATTCCAAGAGAGCCAGTTCGACGTCTTGATGTTGGCTACATTTTAACCTTTTAATAGATGTCACGTCTTTTTGAAAAACGCTTTTTATTTGGTCTTTTGATTTCCATATGGTAGATAGTGTTGATTGACTAATTCCTAGCTCTTGGCAAAGATCTTTATTAGAAACACCACATTCTAAACGTTCAATTATTTTCACTTTTTCAGCAATAGTGAAACAGCGTCTTCTTTTATTTGACATTTTTAACTACGGAATTCGGAACGTGTCTAAACGGATAGCAATCAAAACGGCGACTAAACGAGTAAGAAACGTATGCTGTATACAGTACGGTCGTAAAAGACACATTATCTGTTACAGATAAGATTAAGAATTATCGATTTGGATGAAATCAAATTTACTACTACAATACTGTATTAATAATCGCTATAGGTGATTATAAAAACCAATTTTCGTTTTAAAATAACATCGCTATATCCGGATTATCGTTATAACCGATATCGTTATATACGAATAAAAGTACTACACATAACATATAAAACCAACCAAATACATTGCTTGGAATCGTTTTACCCGGAATATCGTTATATACGGCATCGTTATAAGCGAATTTGACTGTATTTGGTTAGGCATTAGTTTTTGGTTCGATTACATTATGTAATCAACAAACTGTTTTACGTGCCAATGTTTACCGATTACTTAAGCTCCACCATGTCTTTATACGCTGTTTATGGTAGTATATAATATACTCTATTACACTCTATCGTTCAAAAGTCTAAATTCACGTATTTTTATCGTAGCGTCTGTATGACTCCGTAGTCGGAAAAAAAAATCAACGACCCTAGGAAAAAAAATCACCAGCTACAATATTACTCACAATCACATGCAAATGGTTGATCAAATATATTTTGAACGTTAATTAGTAACTATAATTAATATTTAATGACAAATACGTATATTATATTCTATTATATTGTTAAAAAAATTATAAAAAAATTAAAAATATTATAAAAATATTTAGAATGATCGATAAGTCAATTAATAATACAGTATATTATATCATAAGTACACAAGGTTTTTGTTGTATTTGTTCTGCTTATTATAGAGTTTAGGATTTTATTTTATTTGATATTTTTATAGATACACTTAAGACCTGTACCCTAAACAATAGTTACATTACACAATATTCAATACACTATTTTTTATAACTTATAATTTTTATACATAACGTTCATGGTCGTAAAGCTTACTTTATTTTAAATATTTTATCACAGTTACACTTTACAAAACATATTTAAATACTTTCTCATATGCCTGATATTATTTATGGATGAATTGTTATGTTGAAATACATTCAATAGAATACAATATACTTCCTACAGTCTTATCTTATTGGAAATTTGTGTTTCGATCAAATAAAAATGTAACGTTAAAATAGGTGTGTTAACACCACACGTCACTAATATTAAAACCACTGGATGACTATTTATTTGATAAATTGTATATATTAATTTATAACGTTGATACATTAACTAGAAACTATACCAAGTGTGTATTATTTTTTACCAGGCGAATACTTAATAAAACCTATATAAAACTATAACAACATTTTTTAAAATATAGAAATAACACTATTAAACTCTTCTGTAAAATATATTGACCCTACTCAACACTTGACTGTGCTCCTTATTGGTTCATTTAATACTTGCACATTAAACTAATTAAAATGATTGCATAGGTGGTCGGAGCACAACCAGTACCTGACCGTGAACTACCAGTTCACGCAGAAATTGACAATGCCGATGCAAACGGCTGCCCAGAAATGGTCGTGGTGGAGTTCGTCGAGGTACAGATGGAAGATATCGAAGAGGAAGTCATCCAGATGGACAAAGTCCTGATGAACGACGATAACGCAGAAATGGTCGAGGTGGAGTACGTCGCAGTACAGATGGAAGATATCGACGAAGAAATAGACCAGATGGACCAAGTCATGATGAACGACGATAACGTAGAATTTATCGAAGTTCGGATGGACGAAGTCCTAATGGACGTTGACGAGGTAGTACCAGGAGAGATGATGGACAACAATGAGGGGATGCAACTTGAAATCGAAATGTTACTCCAAGGCGTCGATGAAGAGGTCAGTGAATATTTCTTCATATTACTTATATCTATGTTTGTTAAAATTTTATAATTTCAATCGCAGTTCCAACCAATTCCCCCGGGTGTTCCGGTCCAACAGCCTAGAGGGCGTGCACCAATGATAGATCGTCCGGCTGGCGTCCAACATCCGCTCCCAGAACAGCATTACATTGGGGCGTTGAATGCGGTCTGTAGAGATTGTGGTGCCCGTCACTTCCCCATCGAAAGCACCACACAGGGAGGTTTCTATACATGTTGTAATAGCGGTCTCGTGACCGTAACAGGAGAGCGGGTGTTGCAACCCGCACCTGTGTTACTAATGAATTTGTTGACTTCTGATTCAAGGGAAGCCAGGAGCTTTAGAGCTGAAATTCGAAGCTACATTAACAGTTTGGCATTCGCTGCATTCTCCAGTGACTTTAACCCCAGACATTTGCCAGGTCGTGGACCTAGGGTATTCTATGCTCAAGGACAAGTGTATCACATGACTAACATTGAAGTCGCCCCAAACGAAAACGGGCCACCGAGATATTGTGAGTTGTATTTCGTGAGTTCTGAGCAAGCAAGCCGGGCTCGCTTGCAACAGAATCCACACCCAGTGGCGGATACGAGGGGGGGCGATGGGGCGAACGCCCCCCCCCCCTTGGCTCGTATTTTGTACGTTATTTTTAAATCATAAAATTGAACTGAAAAAGTGAAAACTAATATTTTTATTTTTTTGAATACTACTAATAATTACACACGATGGGCCAGCGTAAAAATATTTCCTATTTTTTTTCCCCCATTCTCAGTTATGATTCTTCCTGACCTGTTTAATGTTCATAATAATATAGAAACGCTGCTTCTCGAACGCGCTCTGCTGGTGTTGTTATCAACTTATCGCCACCGTTGTAGTTTTCGTCTGCTTATTACAATTTGAAATGGATTGTGCCGATAATTTTATTTTTATATTTATAAAGGTAGGTATTTTCATTAGTTTAAACTTTTCTTTTTTGACTATACTAAGTACTAATTAATTTATCGACTAACGACAAATACCTATAACACGGCATAACCGCTACTCGTTGATTTTAAGTTTTTAATATATTTTCTTACAACTAAAATGAAACGTAAAGAAAGATCTGGTCCAATAGACACATATTTTATTCAAATAAAGATCAACAGTGTTTCAACTGTTTCAAGTACACCAAGTGAGTACATTGAGTAAAACAAATCTTAAACAATATTTATTAACTAGGTAGGTACATATGTACCTACCTAGTGACTTGCTTTTTAGGCAATGGAGTTTCAATGATGCTAGCTTTAAATGAATGCTCTAGTGATATTTACCCAACTGTTAGACAGTTGCTCATAACTATTTACACTTTGCCTGTAAGTGTTGCCTCTGCAGAGAGGAGCTTCTCTACGCTTCGCAGGTTAGCTTATTTCCAATAGTTTTAAATTAAAATAAAATATGTTTTACAGTGTATGTAATAGCATGAATGCATAATCTGTATACTTAGTTATATAGTATTATATATATTTGTATTTTAAATTATATTTCTAATTTATAAATAGTTATTATATTGCTTGCTTGTTGTTTTAAATTTGATTAGTTTAAAAACCTGGTGAGGTCTCGAATGGGGGAAGAACGCTTAACTGGCTTAGCGCTTTTACACATTCATAGGGACATACAACTAAATGTGGAAGACATCATCGACAGGTTTGCTAAGGAGAAGAAAAGATGTATTGATATGATTTTGTAAATGAACCAGTAAAAATAAATTACTTTTATTTATTTATTATTTATGAAGTTTATTAATTTCATATTTATTTAGTTTTATAGGTGAAATAATGCAAATAATTTTAGCCTCCAATACATTTCAGGTTATATAAAAAAAGATCATTTAATTTTTGAAAATTCGCCCCCCCTTGGGTGACCTCTGGATCCGCTACTGTCCACACCGCTTATTGGAGCAAGTGCTTGCAGACCTAGACCAACTATTTCGGGATAACAATCCATACGCCCAAGCATTTCAGTAAGTTATTAAAGTCATTAAATTATATGTAATGTACTCATGAACACCAAAATCTCGGCTGAGAGCTCATAATTTGTGCACATTACATCTATAGAATATTATATTATGTAGGTACATTTACATTTGGCAAACTATTTAATTTTCACTTATAAACTGATTAAATTTCATTATTTATATGCTATTAGGTATAATTAATCATTTGTGCACAGTTTGTAGGTACACAACACATTATTAAACTGTTAACTAAAAATTATTTCATTTTGAATTAAAATTGGTCTAATGTAAAAATAGTTTACAACATGTATTTCCCACTCCAAGAATTTTCATAATATTACAACAATTTTAATTGTAAATTAACACTACACAAAAGTAGTGACTTCCATCTATCATTTGAGTGTAGGTTGATTATTTATAATATAAATATTTAATGACAATAATATTCTTCTGTTTATGATATATTCTTACATTACATATATACATAAAAAAAAACTTTTTGTCGCCTGGCTTACAAACAGTATTCAAAAGCTAATCAATGTACAAAATATGTACGAATAATAAATTAATGATTTTTACAAACTGTTTTTAAACTCATTGGTTATTACAAAAAGGGTCACTATAGAACAAATTGATGAATTACTTAAGTTATTTATTTTCATAACATTCAAACAGTATATTCACCAGTTTAGAATTTTATAATAACAATAAACACTACAATAATATTGTATAATGGTATAATTTCAATTATTTCTATCTATATTCTTAACATTATTCCACTGAGCTTGAGCATAATTATGAATTTTTAAACACTATATTATATTACACTTTACTATCGTTCATTTTATTCACATACATAGCACCCCAATAAGACTTAATATAAACTTTACAATGACCAGGCCTTACCATATTGATATATTATTACTCATTAATATTTTATGTGTGGTTCTGTATACCTACAGTTATTATATAAATATATGTGCAATAATTATTACACTGCAGTACTACACATCATACAAAACAAATTCAAAAAAACTAAATACAAACTATAATATAATTTAATTATATAACTAACACCTGAACATAATG